GCTGGAGGTAATTAGTCCGTCCTTGGGGCTCTGTGAGCGGGCAAAAAGAGGTGATTTCCCCCTGGTCTCTGCTGGAGGTGCAGAGTCCCACTGTTAGGGGCCCATGCTGGAGGTAATTAGTCCGTCCTTCGGGGCTCTGTGAGCGGGCAATGAGAGGTGATTTTCCCGGTCTCCGCCCTGGAGGTGTGAAATAAACAGAGTCCCCCTGTTAGGGACTGGTGCTGGAGGTCTCTAGTCCGTCCTTCGGTGCTCTGTGAGCGGGCAAAAAGAGGTGATTTCCCCCTGGTCTCTGCTGGAGGTGCAGAGTCCCACTGTTAGGGGCCCATGCTGGAGGTAATTAGTCCGTCCTTGGGGCTCTGTGAGCGGGCAAAAAGAGGTGATTTCCCCCTGGTCTCTGCTGGAGGTGCAGAGTCCCACTGTTAGGGGCCCATGCTGGAGGTAATTAGTCCGTCCTTCGGGGCTCTGTGAGCGGGCAATGAGAGGTGATTTTCCCGGTCTCCGCCCTGGAGGTGTGAAATAAACAGAGTCCCCCTGTTAGGGACTGGTGCTGGAGGTCTCTAGTCCGTCCTTCGGTGCTCTGTGAGCGGGCAAAAAGAGGTGATTTCCCCCTGGTCTCTGCTGGAGGTGCAGAGTCCCACTGTTAGGGGCCCATGCTGGAGGTAATTAGTCCGTCCTTGGGGCTCTGTGAGGGGGCAGAGAGAGGTGATTTTCCCCTGGTCTCTGCTGGAGCTGTGAAAGAAACAGAGTCCCACTGTTATGGGGACATGCTGGAGGTAATTAGTCCGTCCTTGGGGCTCTGTGAGGGGGCAGAGAGAGGTGATTTTCCCCTGGTCTCTGCTGGAGCTGTGAAAGAAACAGAGTCCCACTGTTATGGGGACATGCTGGAGGTAATTAGTCCGTCCTTGGGGCTCTGTGAGGGGGCAGAGAGAGGTGATTTCCCCCTGGTCTCTGCTGGAGGTGCAGAGTCCCACTGTTAGGGGCCCATGCTGGAGGTAATTAGTCCGTCCTTGGGGCTCTGTGAGCGGGCAGAGAGAGGTGATTTTCCCGGTCTCCGCCCTGGAGGTGTGAAATAAACAGAGTCCCCCTGTTAGGGACTGGTGCTGGAGGTCTCTAGTCCGTCCTTCGGTGCTCTGTGAGCGGGCAAAAAGAGGTGATTTCCCCCTGGTCTCTGCTGGAGGTGCAGAGTCCCACTGTTAGGGGCCCATGCTGGAGGTAATTAGTCCGTCCTTGGGGCTCTGTGAGGGGGCAGAGAGAGGTGATTTCCCCCTGGTCTCTCCTGGAGGTGTGAAATAAACAGAGTGCTACATTTTGTAAATAGTGCAATATCTCCAGGGCGCATAACTGCACTTTACAAGCCAGAAATAATGTTTAAATGGTCGGGGAAAGTATTTTTAAATGTCTGGAAGAGAGTTTTAGACAGTCATTTTGCAGGAAATCATTTAACATAGACGCTCTCCTGAAAATGCACAGAATATGTGCTTTTTCAGGAGACCGTCAATGTTAAATGATTTCGTGCAAAATGACTGGCTAAAACCTCGGAATAAGTGTTTGAAAAGCGGGGAAAAGTTGTTTAAAATAGTCTGATACCTCCAGGGCGCATCACCAAAAATGTACAAGCCAGGGAAGATGCCTGAATCCCGGATACTTTAGGTCTGTCACTTAGGGTGACCGCACCACTCCGACGCTCCCGAGAGTGGACGTCCATTGTTTGTAAGGCACCTAAGAGGGATTAGGGAACATGTTCGTGTGTCATTTAGGAAACCTATAAGTGTCCTGTGTTTCTGAATATTTGTGGGACCATTTCTGCGATTGGTTGCTGTTGAAGCAAGGTAATGTTTCCCCATTGTTGTTTGGTGGTGCGCAACTAAATAATAATGATTAATCTCAACTATTTCTGTGTTTGTGTTTCATTGATTCCTCTCTGTTTCATTCTTTCATGTTGTGTGAGTACTGGATCGCCACAACAGGGCAAACCTGTTCTTGTTGTGCTGTGGTAGTCATGGTGACGAGCCATGCCAGAGCCCTTGCCGCTGTTGCTCGTGAAGCAACCCAAGGGGGGCCCCGCCCGAAAGGGCTGCGATGGGGTCTCCACACACTGCATATCACCCCGGCCTGAGGAATGAGCGGAGTTGTGTGCAGTGCTATTCATACAGCGCGTAATAACAGCCCTAGGCTCATTACGACCGTGTGAAGCAGGCACACCTGGGACAGAGGAAAAACCGTGCTGCCTGCTAACCGATAGGCCAGAGGCAACAGGTTTACACGTCAAGCCCCGCTGTCTAATAACCGCCTGGTTATATACAGCTGGCTTGTGCAGCGAGCCCTGCCGCCTGCTAACCGACAGGTCAGAGGCAGCCTGCTCAAACGGCGAGCCCAGCAGTCTGTTAACCGACAGGTTACAAACAGCTGGTTTATGCAGCGAATCTTGCTGTCTGTTAACCGACAGATTAACAACAGTCGGCCTGACTAGTGTGGGGGAAATATGAGAAACAGCTGCTACAGACACACTGTTGGAATTTTCAACATTTTTATTGAAAATGTACTCCCGCACATCCCCCCCAAAAAGTCACTTTCGGCTCTGCTTCCTCGGAGGCTCTCTCGGAGCCGGAGAAGCAGACCAGGAGCGGGGGTTCTTCGTTCCCCTCCGACTCGTCGCCTGGAGACTCTGTCTCTGTGGCGGAGGAGCGGAGACATGGGACGGTGCCCCCGCAGCCGCCGAAGGGCAATTCTGGCACCGCTGCTGATCTCGCCATTGCCCGCACTGCCCCTGCTGAGACTGTTGCAGGTGCTGCGGGTGCTGCTGTCGCTGCTGTTGCTGGGGACGTCTGTCCGGCTGAAGCCATCCGACGTAACGCCGTATGTCGTCTGCCTGCTCCGATGCAGACTTCCTTGACTCCACCATGGTGTGGAACTGAGGTCCGAACAGTCCGTCCGGACTGATTGGAGCCTCTATCAGCTCCTTCCCTGCACCCTCCGGTATAGATCCCTGCTGTAGCCAGAGGTACCGGTGGACCTGAGTCGCCCACGTCGCAATCCGCGCCTGCGAAACTGCGACTGCGGCGCTCAGGGTAAGTGCAGTGCTGGCCGCCTTACCGATCTCCTCAGCCTCCCCTGAGGACATGGTGTCGGACTGCTCAGCTATACGTACCATGGAATTCACCAGCAACGCAATATTGTTGGCCGCCGCTGACGCCTGGTAAGCACACTGGTGCATCCGGTCGGTCTGTCGGGCGACAAACTGATCTCTGGAAGCAGTCAGCATGGGTCGCCATCCGGCAACCGTGCTGGCCTGCTTAACTCCAAAAAACGTCGTGAGGCTCGGCTCCAGAGGCGGCACGGTCGGAAAACCCTTATCCGTAAATCCCTCCACCCTCGTGAGGGGAGCGTACGTGGATACAGGAGCCCTCAGTGTCCTGGGGTTCGCCGCCGCCCCCTCCTGGTACTTCCTAATGGGCGGGAAGCGTGGCCAGATCGGGTCACTCCTGACCCTCTGTGCCTGGGAGAACACCCCGGACATGTCATCCGAAAACGTGCTCTCCTGAGCTGGGGGAACGCGGAGATCTCGCCAGGCGGCTGCCTTAGAGATGATCTCCGGGAGTTCCTGGAGAATTCCGCCAATCGACGGCAGAGCTGTGACGGCGGAGAGAGAGACCACTGGTCCGTCTACCGGACCTACACCGGGACCCCGCTCTGTCTCCTCCGTCCGGAGGAGAGAGAGGATGGGGGAACCACCTGGTGATCCATGAATGGAGGGGGCGTAATCGTCCGACTCGTGCCCTCCACTCGGATCCAAGAAGTCCAGGGCCTCGTCCACAGAGTAAACCTCTGGGACTGCCCAATCATCCTCTACCTCAGCAGCAGCGAGAGCGTCCGCTCTCTGCTGTCTGAGGGCCAGAGGGAGCCGGGCACATAATGAGCATGACACCTGTGGGGAAAGAGCAGCTTTCGCATGCTCTAACCCCAAGCAGGACTCACACTGTGAGTGTTTGTCAAAACTCATTATGTAGCCCGCCTCACATGAAAGGCAGTTCCGGACGCAGCCCTGACTTACCTTGCTCATCTCCATCTTTCCACTAGAAACAAAGCTTCGTAAGGGAGGAATCTTTGTTTTCTAATGTGCCTGCTACAGTGCTTCTGCTACTACGTGCTGAAGAAAAGTGGGAGCAGATTGACGGGCATACTTCCTATTTATACGGAAGTGAGACCGTAGGTGGGGCCCACGTCATAGGTGGGCGTGGATTAAGTCTGTCAGTGCTGCGCATGCGCAGTGGGATTACCCAATAGCGATAGCCTTAGAGGGCGAAGCCTTATACGAAATAGAACAGGAAAACAGAACCTAAATACACACAGGACTAATCAAACCAACAAGACACAGGTGAGGAGGGAGGAGAAACACAGGGCACCAGGTGAACGCAATCACCAGCAACAGACAAGACGGGAGGGGGAACACTTTTCAAACTAAAACAGGAAACAGAGACAGACAAACTAAAACATAGACAGATTGTGACAAATATATGCATAAATGACATATAATCACATGCTTCCTGTGCAATGTTTTAGCGTGGAACAAATGAATATACTTCGCCAATAATGAAGCTATATAATCCGTAACGGAGACCGAGATCTATGGCCCCAGAGATCACCTCCGTTACAGCGTGGTCATGGTTTAACTCCAATAGAATTGACTCTGCATTTTTGATCGCACTCTAGAAGCTATGAGTAATAAATACACTCCAAAATGATTAAATATCACTATTTCAGAGCAAAATAGTAATTACTCTGGAAAAAATACTCACCAATATTTCCTGTGTAGCATGATTTAAAAAACATATCAAAATCGAATTGCTTTTTGTGTCTGGGCTAGAAATGGACTTTCATGCTTGATTTGAACATAGGGGCCTGTTTTTATATATATATGTAACATCATAAATCATAAGTTGATTAACCACAACAGCATCAAATTAAGAATTTCAAAGCCCACTGTTATTATGGCTTACAAATGACTACCTGTAATCTGTTGTCATCATGGGATCACTGGTTGTGGTTCTGTAAAATGCATAGCCCCATTGGAAAGGCATGTGAAAATGTAATTAGCTCAATATCAACAAAGATGTCTGATTGGTTTTTCATATTCGACAGCATCAAATTAAGCTTTTCAGAGCCCATGGTTTTCATAGCTTTCAATTTACTGCAAGTGTCATTTGTGTGAGTAAATATGCATACCTGTCATCTGTTGTTCTGGGGGGATCACGGGGGGTGGTGCTGTAAAATGCACAGCATCATTCAAAAGGCATATCATCAAAATTACTTATTATGCAAATAGAAACCTGTTTTTATATATATTTAACAAAGTGATAAACCCCTACACCCTGATTTTAATATTTTCAAAGCTCACTGTTTTCACAGTTTACAAAAAGTGTAACGTGTGAGTAAATATGAATACCTGTCACTTGTGGTTCTGGGAGGCTGGGTGGTGGTGCTGTAAAATCCATAGCATCATTTGAAAAGCATATTCAAATATATATGGCTTAACCTGACGATAAAATGTTTTAAAGTTTTGTTTTAAAATAAGAGGTTGTTTAAGAGCTAAAATAAATCATTTGATAATAAAAAAAGTCCTACCTTGATGAGCAAGGGCCTCTGTTCAGATCTTTGGGAGGATATTTGATCTCCACTGGTCCCACTTCAGGACTTGGCAGGGCACTTCCATTGACTAGCGGGGTGATATCTAGAAAATAATAAAGTTTGAGTAATTATCCGCAACAAAACTTAAATTGCAGCTAAATAACCAGAGGAACCAGTGTCAGCGTGCTGAACCAGAAACTTCTAATTTAAATAGGTAATTCACTTTTGTATGTTCTTTTAGACTTACCATCAAAGGATGTGCTTAGGTCACTGGTGATACTAAATTGCTTGGACATCTGCAGCTGGATGTTGGCGTTCTGGTCCAGCATTTTGAAGGTCACCTGCCTTTGTAGGCAAGGCCACTCCAGCCAGTTATCATTTTCACCAGACAAGAGTTGAACAAACAATCCGAAAAAGGAATTATACAACACAACCCCAACCCTGTAAGCATAGCCCCCGCTGGAGTATTGCCGAGGGCTGTACATAGTGGTGCCAAGACTACTAGAGTTCAAAGCCTGCTCAAAGTCATCAAGCTGCATGGTTACATGTGGACATTGGATCTCTGACAGATTGATGTCATCGATTGAGAAGCCGCCTGTAGAGCTTCCTGCTCCTTTACAAACCTCAAACTCTACCTGGAAGTGCTTGGTGGCATTCAGGGACACATGATGGAGCTTCCAGTGTTTTGTTGGCTCACCTGGAGGAAGAATTTTGTAATGTCTGAATTGCATTTGTTGAATATTAACAGGCGCATGAGATATATAGCTTTCAAACACAATATTCTTAAACGCAATTTATAGAGGATGATACCATATGCTACATTACCAGTGATCTGTCCCATGAGGCGTAGGGTTCCCTTGAGGTCCAATTCATCCTGAAACTCTCTGATCCAGATGTTGAGGTGGTCTGACATGTTCCCACTGTGGAAATAGTAGAACTGGAGACACTGGACATGATGCTCCCTATTGAGACTCATCCTGTGGGTCTCCAGCCAGGCCGAGTCTCCCTCCTCACCTGATGCCGTGCTAACATGCATGAAGTAACCCGCATCTTTACCTAGAATGTGTATTGTCCAAAAAATAAGGAGTTATATATTTGTGTTTTTAATAATTTTCTGTGGGGATACTTGATAATATATTAAACAGTTCAAAAATAACATGACATAAGGGTGGGTGGCATAAGAAAGTTGGATAGGAATAGTACATATTTTGTATTCATTGTCAGGGAAGGTTTTGAAGTACACACATGCAATGTTAGATTTAAAAATCTTACCTTGTTCACCACTGCCACTGGGTAGATTGGTGTGGTCAGACACAGGACCCCCTGTAACATTTGTTACCATTTCCCAGCCAAGCCCACTCTGTGAACAGCTAGTCATTTGACACATGGTCTCATCGGGGAAGCTGCATTGCATCTGAAATGCAATGGTTGACTCTGTAGAGTAAGATAGAGAACATTGGGTTGCGCACTCTTGGTTGAATGTAGGGTATCAAATCAAAATAAGACTGATTCCGAGTGTTTATTAAAGGTTTTTGTGGGTAGTCATTTAATATTGACTAAACCTTTAACTTTGAAGTTCATTGTTCAAATACATGTTTTGATTCACAAACTGCAACCAAATGGCCTTATACAGGTTCACAGGAATCATTAAGTAAGCTCTTATCTTGCTTTTGATAATAAATAATAGATTTAGTTCGAGCTTGTGCTGTAGTCAATTATAATTGTACCCAGGTAAAAGCACAGGTAAAGTTCCTGAGTTCATTAAAATGCCCCTTGAAAACCTGCTGGGCTGCAAATAGCATTATTATATCTCCACCAATTTTCAAACACTTACTGCATTTGTAGAGGAGGTTCAGCTCCAGAGCGTCTTTGGGACTCACTTCCAGTCTTTGACCAATCACATCCTGGAACTTTGGGTCTTTGGTTATAATAGTTAACCCGTTGCCATTGCTGAAAGCATCTTTGCCGTAGTGCATCACTGACCAGTAGTCGTACGCAGTGGCGTTTTTATATGTATAAAAGTGGTGGGACACAAAAAACTTAGATGTCTATATATAAGCTTCTGCAGTGACGTGCAGTGAGGTTCATGGCTGGTGAGGCACTGGCACTGACTCTTCAGGTTTACAAATATTATATTTTGACCTAAACCAAAATATAATATTATTTTCAAAAGCTTTTTTTGTCTGATGCTTCGATTCATTTTAAACAGACAGTTCAACAAAAGGATACCCAAAACATGTAATTTTATCATTTAAATATTGAATTGTTCTCTCTTAGTAAGATCCCATTTTCAATAAAATTGCGGTCTTACCTTGACTTGAAGATGAAGTCCATTTGCCTATCCTTCTGGACAAACATTTCTATTACTTTTTTGTTAAAGTCCTCCTTATCTTCTTGTAGTTTCAAAAGTCTATCATAAATCTAATCGATAGATTTATGATAAAAAAATTATAAAAGTAGGGTAGACATGTGGATGTTATCCGGCTGATCAAAACGTGCATTTATCTAACAGGTACGTTTCCCACAGATCTTATTTCCAGCTATTTTCTAAAATGCTATGGAGAAATCTCATTGCTTTTTTGTGCTTACTTCCTGGTTTTAGGACGCGTCACTGCAGCTCTCTCGTCTCCTCTTCAAGCACCACACTTTTCGCGGCACACGTACTTACAGCCAATCAGCTCTGAATGATTTGAGATGACGTATGGTGGGGATGGTAGCTCCGTGCCCCTCTGGTCATTATTTTTTTGCCACACACATTACATAGAAAAATACTCTGAGCATGCGCACTGTAGTTTTTACAGTCACCGTTCACTTCACAGCGAGAGGAAGGGGCATCATCAGGTTTTGTCCCACATGGCTCTAAACAGCTCAATAGGCACACACTGTGACTGTAGACACACTAATTAGAAGAACACAGACTAAAACAGCAATGTACAGACGAATCAGATGATTAAACATGATCTTAAAATATATTTTATATATTTTTTTTTTTTTTTTTTTGCATTTTTGTAATCATTATTTGTAATACTTTCTGCTGACACTAGGTGGGGCTGTGCCCCACCTGCCCCTAATGACCAGTCGCCACTGGTCGTACGGGACTCCCTGGGTGGTGGTGGTTTCATTGCTTTGTTTGTCAAAATTATGCTGACGGCCTAGATAAAGACATATAAAAGCCAACCATTATTTGTTTAAACTTATTAAGATATGAATACAATTGTTTGGAATAATGTTATGTATTCATTGTTTTAATTTCAGCAGCATTTATCTTGCCACCAATCGATATATTGATATTTGAAATACTTTTGATTAATTAATTGATTGAGGCTCTAGAGTGGTGGTGCTGTAAAATGCATAGTATGATTTGAAAAGCGAATTGCTTTCTTTAAATGAAATTAATTTCTTAACTCAGGTTCAGGAACATGGCCATGCATCAACCCCATCACTAATCATGGCTAAGTTTATTTATATCCGGCCAATCATCCAGCCATCTCCAAACCCCCTTCATCCCTCCAACCATCGACCCCTTCATCCCTTATACTTTCATCCCTAAATCCCTCCATCCTGTATCCCTCCATCCTGTATCCCTCCATCCCTTATCCCTTCATACCAACATTCCTTCATCCCTTCATCCTGACATCTCTTTATCCTTTCATCCCGACATACCTTATCCTTACATCTCTATATCCCTACATCCCTTCATCCCGACATCATTTCATCCCGACATCCCGACAACCTGATATCCCTTCATCCCTCCCTTCCCTTATCCCTACATCCCCTCATCCTCTCCACCTGTCTCTATTCATATTCAACTCGTGCATATTTTGCGGAATCATGCCGGGGACGGATCCCCCACTCTGAGTCTCCCTCTTCCTGGACCAAAGCACGTTATCCCAGACCAGACCAACAGACGTCATTCACCATCATCACTTAATAACCCCCTCCATATCAATTAATTGTTCCTTCTTCATTAAACCTACAAACAGTATACTGTTGTGGCGTGGTCCTTGCTAGTGAAATCTAAGATAAGATTTTCAAAGCCCACAAATTACTGCAAGTGTAATGTGTGGGAGTAATAGTGAATACCTGTGATCCGTGGTTCTAGGGGGTTTAAGGGTGGTGGTGCTGTAAAATGCAGAGTATTATTTGAAAGACATGTATAAATCTACTTGCTTTCTTCAATTGTTGTTTAAAAAGAAATATACCTTTCTTGCTTAACATGAACATAGAAACACATATATATTTTATTTGTTGAATATCCTCAAGTGCATCAAGCTATTTTACCACTTACAAACGTAATACAGTTTACAAATTACTTAAAGTGTAAATGTGAATACCTGCTTTCATCCGTGGTTCTGGGAGGCTCTAGGGTGGTAGTGCTGTAAAATGCATACTGAAGCACGATTTGAAAAGCAAATTTCTTTCTTTAAATGAAATGTATTGGTTAACTCAGGTTCAGGAGCAAGGCGACGCCTTAGCCCCATCGCTAATCAAGGCTAAATCTATTTATATCCGGCCAAACATCCGGCCATCGCTTGTCTCCATTCTCTCAACCCACCCTCCCGCTCCCTTCCACTCATACATTCTTAGTTCTACCTCATACTTAGCCAAACCCCCTCCATCACTCCAACCATCGACCCCTTCATCCCGGCATCCCTTATCTCTCCATTTCTTATCCCTTCATCCTGACATTCAGACATCCCTTAATCCCTCCATCCCTTATCCTTTCCCCCCTACACCTAGCAAGTTAACCAAATCAATTTAAGTGTTGATCGTGTCCAATTCATTGTTTTGCCTATTCCTGCTGCCAACAAGTGGCCAAAAGAGATCTGTTCATGCTTTTCTGACTGGCATCTGATAAATGTGATATGTGGACCAAGTGATAGAGAAAGAAGACTGCCTTCCACTCGGTGAGTTTTTATTTTCTACATACACTTTCACAATCCAACATACTAACAAGCATTTTGTAACTAACACGGCCCAAATCATGTCGTTGCACACTTTTATATATTCTCAGAAATGCTAATGTTGTGAACTAACAACCACTTTGCACACAAATAAAGGCTCACACTTAAACTTTCCTTTGTATTACCCAGTTATAAAAGCAGTGAATCTTATATTTCTAATTTATTTGAATACACTTCCATAAGAATTCAAAGTAAAGATAATAACAAAACTGTGGTTACACTGATCAACTGCCTTCATGGATCAAAAAGCTTGAAACACAATAATTCCCATACAATTCTGTTTAATTAATGTCCTAGGTCTTTCGAACATTACAACATATATACAAAGAAGGATTGTAATTGTAATTTGATATTAGGCATTGATTGCCTGCAGTTTGTTTTCAGGCCTGTTAAAAAATGAGTGAAGCACTAAAACTAGCAACAGAGCACAGTAATTCAATTATTACATACATTTGAAAATCATTTGTAACTGTATTTCAAAACAATCAATAACGCCAAAATAATATTTTTTTTGTGCAAATAATGTAAATGTAAGTGGTCATTTCCATGAGGAATGAGGACCTAGAAAAGGAAACATGGTTATAATAATCAACTCCCAATCATCAGTTTGACCCGGACAGACATGATCACAAAAACAAATATATTGTAACAACATCATCAACTCTGTGCAGGCATTTCATTGACTTTTACATAAGCTGTTATACAATGTGATACAGTTGTAACCAATATTTGTTTTACCCTTTTGAGTTACCCATTTTTGATCTGTGTATATAACTAGAGAAAAAACGAGAGAAAGAAAACAACAAAAGAAACGTAATACATGTAAAACAGCTGAATAACTCTGCATTACGGGTCCCGTCATGAGCTGAGGTTCAAAGTTCAAGGCTTTTATTAGTCATACGTACATAGCTACAGTGTAGTTATGATGATGACAATCTTAAGTCACAGGCGAGATGTGCTTCAAGGTATCAAAAGCATCGCCGCTAGCAGGAGGGTGAGGACAGGAGAACACAGCAAACCAGGAGAGAAGCCAGACATGCTGAAGCCGGAAGAAAGGAATGGATGAATTAAGATATGAAGATTTTAGACACATACAAACATACACAACCGTATTTTGTAACAAGTGGAAATAGTCTCAACAGCATGAAATTAAGCTTTCAAAGTCCACTGTTTTTATGGCTTACAAGGTTTTTCATCTATACTGTGTGAGTCAATATAAATACCTGTCATCGGTGGTTCTTGGAGGCTCACGGGTTGTGAAGCTGTAAAATGCATATAATAATTAGAAAGGTGTATATAAATCGAATTGCTTCATTTAAAAAAGAGAAATATATATATATGGCATCATTTGATAGACATATTAAACTCCTATGTTTTTCCAAAGAAACTCCAAAGTTCTGTTTTGACAATAACAAGTGGTTTTAGTGTTGAAAAATGATAACACAATGTCCTACCGTGATGAACAAGGGCCTTCTTTCAGCTCTTTAGGAGGATATTTAATATTCACTTGTCCAACTTGAGGAATTGGCAGAGCACTTCCATTGATGAGAGCAGTGATATCTAGCAAAGAAAAAAACTTGGGTAATTATGTGCCATACTTCAACTTAGCGTACATTTAAACATTTAGAGAAAAATAATCAGCTTGCCTTGGAAGCTAAAGGTGAAAATGACACTTCCCCCCTTGAGGAACTCCCTGGTTTTTGATTCATTTTTATCGGAGAAAGTAGATCTGCCATACATAGATCCGGCAAAGATGGTTTCACCATTGTCATCTACGTAAGGCAATCCAACCAGACGAGGATTGTCCCACACGCTGCCTGTTTAAAGAGAGCAATAGATCATTTAAGTTAAATAACGAGAGAGTGTTCTAAACCAGAAACTACTTATGTAAATAAATACTGAACACTTTTATGTTCTTTTTGACTTACCATTGGAGGATGTGCTTAGGTCACTGGTGATACTAAATTGCTTGGACATCTGCAGCTGGATGTTGGCGTTCTGGTCCAGCATTTTGAGGGTCACCTGCCTTTCTGTGCAAGGCCACTCCAGCCGGTCATCATTTTCACCAGACACGAGTTGCACAAACAATCCGAAAAATGAATTATACAACAAAACCCCAACCCTATAAGCATATCCCCCGCTGGAGTATTGCCGAGGGCTGTAAATACGGGTGCCAAAACTACTAGAGTTCAAAGCCTGCTCAAAGTCATCAAGCTGCATGGTTAAATGTGGACATTCGATCTCTGACAGATTGATGTCATCGATTGAGATGCCGCCTGTAGAGCTTCCTGCTCCTTTACGAACCTCAAACTCCACCTGGAAGTGCTTGGTGGCATTCAGGGACACATGATGGAGCTTCCAGTTTGTTGGCTCACCTGGAAGAAGAATTTTGTAATGTCTGAATTGCATATATATAAACACAAGATAATTAAATGCTATATTTCTAGAGGATGATTACCAGTGATCTGTCCCATGAGGCGTAGGGTTCCCTTGAGGTCCAATTCATCCTGAAACTCTCTGATCCAGATGTTGAGGTGGTCTGACATGTTCCCACTGTGGAAATAGTAGAACTGGAGACACTGGACATGATGCTCCCTATTGAGACTCATCCTGTGGGTCTCCAGCCAGGCCGAGTCTCCCTCCTCACCTGATGCCGTGCTAACATGCATGAAGTAACCTGCATCTTCACCTAGAATGTGTATTGTCCAAAAAATAAGGAGTTATATATTTGTGTTTTTAATAATTTTCTGTGGGGATACTTGATAATATATTAAACAGTTCAAAGATAACATGACATAAGGGTGGGTGGCATAAGAAAGTTGGATAGGAATAGTACATATTTTGTATTCATTGTCAGGGAAGGTTTTGAAGTACACACATGCAATGTTAGATTTAAAAATCTTACCTTGTTCACCACTGCCACTGGGTAGATTGGTGTGGTCAGACACAGGACCCCCTGTAACATTTGTTACCATTTCCCAGCCAAGCCCACTCTGTGAACAGCTTGTCATTTGACACATGGTCTCATCGGGGAAGCTGCATTGCATCTGAAATGCAATGGTTGACTCTGTAGAGTAAGATAGAGAACATTGGGTTGCGCACTCTTGGTTGAATGTAGGGTATCAAATCAAAATAAGACTGATTCCGATTTGTTAAAGGTTTTTGTGGGCAGTCATTTAATATTGACTAAACCTTTAACTTTGAAGTTCATTGTTCAAATACATGTTTTGATACACAAACTGCAACCAAATGGCATTATACAGGTTCACAGGAATCATTAAGTAAGCTCTTATCTGGCTTTTGATAAGAATTAATGAAGAATAGCTTTAGTTCCGGCTTGTGCTGTAGTCAATTATAATTGTACCCAGATAAAAGCACAGGTAAAGTTATTGAGTTCATTAAAATGCCCCTTGAAAACCTGCTGGGCTGCAAATAGCATTATTATATCTCCACCAACTTTCAAACACTTACTGCATTTGTAGAGGAGGTTCAGCTCCAGAGCGTCTTTGGGACTCACTTCCAGTCTTTGACCAATCACATCCTGGAACTTTGGGTCTTTGATTATAATTGTTGACCCGTTGCCATTGCTGAAAGCATCTTTGCCGTAGTGCATCACTGACCAGTAGTCGTACGGGACTCCCTGGGTGGTGGTGGTTTCATTGCTTTGTTTGTCAAAATTATGCTCACGGCCTAGATAAAGACATATAAAAGCCAACCATTATTTGTTTAAACTTATTAAGATATGAAGAAGATTGTTTGGAATAATGTTATGTATTCATTGTTTTAATTTCAGCAACATTTATCTTGCCAACAATTTATATTTGAAATACTTTTGATTATACCGTCTGTATTTAGACAAAAATATTGATGATATGTTTATGGACTATTTATTCTATAACTTATTTCTTTCCAACTCATTGTAGGTCCTTTATATACCTTGATATAATCCTGTAAATATAAAGAAGAGGCATGTTTAATAAGAATCTGTAACAAACCTTCTCTGATGTTCTCGTTAACAATGGTCACATAATCATCTCTGTCATATCTGGACTGTTCATGGTAGAAGCCCAAAGCATGGAGGAACTCATGTTCAACGATTGAGATGGAATCACAGTTAGACCCGATGGAGATGTTCTGTCCGTTGGATATTACTTTCCCAATATATGAATAACATCTAAAATGAGAAAGAGCATCAGCAACAGCATTTTGACTGACCTTACCAGGCCTCGTTTATCAAAAGCATTCATAGTGAAAGTAAAAAATATGTGTATAGTAGAAAGAACAAAGACGTATATTTATCAAACATGCCCCTAAATCACAGCAGCTCATTTACATCCAGAAGCAAAATATGGTCAACCACGTACTTATGAAATGATCTAATGTTGAGGAACCTTTTGTGGACAAAGAAGCTAACAAGAAATGAATGGTAAAGACAGAACAAAAAAAACATACCCATTTAACTTCTGGACGTGGATGTAATACTCCTCAGAGTCCCTTGGTTTGAAGTCAATACATGACTTCAACCTGAACTGGTCAAAGGCTTTCAGGGTGAGTCCTTTAGCATTCATCTCTGCCATTGTTCATGGGGATTTTTCAAATAGAAGAAGAACAAGTAAATGATAATATGAATGCATAGTTTAGGTGACGTTTTCTTTCCTGGGAACATTACTGGAATATGTATGCTCTGGTGGATGCCTTTAATGATTAAGATCATGCCTAAGGAGCTTTGTTCACGTCAATGTGCTGCTGCTATCTGGTTCTTATCTCCCAGGAACTGACCCCAATAAACTGGTTAGGTCAATGATATAAAATATTTAACAAACTCCCTAACATGGCTCATAGCTGTTCTCTCTACCAAAGACACATTTTTTGGTTAATGCAGGAACAATTATATTTACCAAGGTCTTTGTCCAAAACGTATGGGACTGGAGATGTCCACAGTTCGTCCCCATCAGTAATGGCACTCCTCTGCGTTGTTGGTGGTGCCTAAAAAGATTTATAAGAAATGTAATGGGTGGCGGAAAATAATCATATAAACCAAGTTTCAGTTTCTTAATTTACAACAAAAAAAACCCACCTTCAGGATATCATCATGTAATAAATCTAAGATAAAGCACAAAAGGGTTGTGTTTTTAAACAAAGAAAGGTGCTGCAGTTAAGTATGAACGTGAAAACAGCAATATTAACACAGGTCCATTGAATGATATGAAGATGTTTGACTTTACCCTTGTTTGCCTCTTCAATGCTCTGGTCGTCACCAATGTCTAAAAAAAATTGAGAGGTTGCCATATAAAGTAACATTGATGAATTATATGATTATACTAGTTATATTTGATCAAATAAACGACTAAAACTTACCCACTATCAATGTTCCGACCTGTGAACAAAGACATTTGATCATATTAACAGATGTAGTAATATAATATGTTATGTACAACATGAAACACAAATAACGTTATTGTATTCTATCTAATGATAGTTTTTTTGGGAAACAGGTACGCTTAAAACTTTCGTCAAAACAATACCTAATTAATTCCTGCTATAAACTTTACGAAATGAAACACTGCAGTATGAAATACATCATGATTTGACAGAAAATAGAACAATAAAGTTACTCTTACCGTTTTTCGTGAGAATGATAATAAAAATATCAAGGTCACAACAAGGAAAATGTAGCCTTTCATCCTTTTGTCTTGGAACAAACCTAAACTATACACAGATATATGAATAAACGTAAAAGATGTCCCAATATATATATTGTTTAAATATTATAATGAGAATATATTGCTCAACCAATTTAAACAATAGCTTTTTTTTCTTTAAGTTTGATTAATTTGTATTTAAAGAAGACAGAAAGTGCTCATCTGCGTTTACCCTCTGCCAGCCTGATCGTCTGAGCGCTAACTGAACATGAGAGGCTTTGGCTGTAACAGATTCACTTTATATGTTATACAAAAGAAAGAAAAACAGGTTTTAAAACTATTCAGACAATGCAGTAAACACAGACACAGGGTTTCATCTAAATGTGACTTCATACAGAAATGTTAAATGAGTCTGCAGAATGACTCCCTTTTTTATTTATATTTGAATGTTTCACTTGTATAAACTGCCTTAACCTGTTAAGCCCCATGCCTGTTTTTCAGGTCTCAGGCTCGAAAATGACATTCCCAAAACAAATGAATATATCTTCACTTCTAAAAGGGGTAAATTAATAAGCTTCCGGTTTTGGGCATGCTGGCTGCGCATCCTCTCATTCACCAATGGTAATATTTAGATCAGGGGTGGGGAACCTTTTTCCTCTCAAGGGCCATTTCAATCTTTCAACATCCTCAGTTAAAAGCATCAATCTGGTGCACTTTGAGAGCAACATGAAGAGATCTATGGATACATCTCTCAACACCCATATGAAACAGAACTGTAAACAGATTTTATTTTTCTTTATGGATATTTTACAAATCACTCCCCTTTTAAACTGTATTCTTGTTTATTAATAAGAACTTTTTATTTTACTGTCATATAGTATTTTATACCTTATCACCTGAATCTCCTTCTAGAGCACCAATGTGTTTTTTAACACAGGGGTGTGGGGTGTGGCACTTCATTTGCTTTAACCTGTTAAGCCCCGAGCCTGTTTTTCAGGCCTCAGGCTCGAAAATGACATTCCCAGAACAATTGACTAAGGCTGCCTTTACACGGGAACGTTTGCGTTTATGCACAGTATGCGTTTTCAAAAAAGTCTTCCGTTCACATGCATTCGTTTCATTTAACGTGTCTGTTCACACGAGACCGCTGGAAACGCTGTAGTACATATGCCGGGACTGTAAGTGGCGCTGTAACTTCCGCCACAAAATACACCAAAAGCAGCGAAGAAGACCCCGGAGCATGGTTGCCATGGCTACCCTTCTGTTTATGCCCTGCGGTGGATTTAGCAACATGTAGTAGTTCATGTAATTCTCCATGTCCACTTGTTGCTTATGGTTGTGGTAGAGGAGCTGTAGATTTTGCACTAACATCTGTAGCATGGTCGAGCTGTAGATGGTGTACTAACATCTGTAGCATGGTCAGTAGCAGTTGCACTAGCAGTAGCTACTGACAGTAGCTACTGGCCATGCTACAGCAGTGAGCAGCAGAGGCGGGGAGAGGTGGGGCTATCGTTATTTTTTCAGGAAATTATCGTATAGAGGCGATTACACGGAGCCGTTTGACCCCCCAGAGCGTTTTGTTTGCAAATCTATCCACCTTGGGACCCGTTATCGTTTATGGGGTCCGTTTCTATCGTTTTGTTACAGCCTCGTGTAAATAATAGGGCTATACGCAAGAGAAACTATGCAGATACAAGCCGTTTCGTTCTCGTGTAAAGGGGGTCTATATCTTCACTTCTAAAAGGGGTAAATTAATAAGCTTTTTCTCAAAGCAATGATAAACCTGTGAGTTGGATGTAGAAGAGTCAGAATCAATATAGATGTTTTTATTTTAAAGTAAATTCAGATTGAACATTACATTTTAGTTTCCGTCCAAAAGAAAAACATTATATAGTGAATACCACCCTTGAATGATGGGATAGTAGACTAAAAGCTTCAGGAATCCAAATTATACATATAATAAGTACCCTGTATCAAGATTGATGCAAAACAAGTGAAATTTGACCTTTTTAGAGAGGTTTGGGGAAAATAAACACTTCTGGGGTCATTTGGGTGGATAGAATCGAGGGGAAGTTCCTAAATCCATCTAAACCAGGGGTAGGGAACCTCCGGCCTCCGGGCCGTATACGGACTGCGAGACCATTTGGTACGGCCCTCGAGGTAATTTATAAACACACGCAAAAAAGAAAAAAATTAAAGAAATCTAGACCGCAAAATAATTAAACAAGGTAGTGCCTGTTTTTCCTGGCCATGGTCAGGGTCCTTGAACACAACACGAGCCTAACGTGTCATCACGTTGTATATGTCTCGTCTGACAGGGGTGCAGTTCTGACGGAGACCACCAGAACGCGGCTCCGGCACTACATCAGTTGCAGTACCCATAAGGAGCCGTACACATGCCGCAGTTTTTGCGTGGCTGTGTCTTTAGTTGAAAGCCCAGTGGCGATCGGTTCATCTGTCATACTGATCATACAGTCAATAACTTTGTTGTTATTAGCATCTGGTTAGCTAGCTATGCTAACGAATATAATAAGCTTTTTCTACAACCAGTGAGGCACATCTTTATATGATCATTATAGTTATAAAAAAAATTGAGAATAAAGTAAACAGGTATAAAATACTATATGACAGTAAAAGAAAATGTTGTTATTAATAAACAAGAATACAGTTTGAAAGGGGAGTGAATTGTAAAATATCCATAAAGAAAAAGAAAATCTGTTTACAGTTCTGTTTCATATGGGTGTTGAGAGATGTATCCATAGATCTCTTAATGTTGCTCTCAAAGTGCACCAGATTGATGCTTTTAACTTCAACATTTAAAAAAAAATCTTTGGACCCCCTAGAGGATGTTTGGTTGAATGGAATTGAAATGGCCCTTGAGAGGAAAAAGGTTCCCCACCCCTGATCTAAATATTACCATTGGTGAATGAGAGTATGCGCAGCCAGCATGCCCAAAACCGGAAGCTTATTAATTTACCCCTTTTAGAAGTGAAGATATATTCATTTGTTCTGGGAATGTCATTTTCGAGCCTGAGACCTGAAAAACAGGCATGGGGCTGCATTGTCTGAATAGTTTTAAAACCTGTTTTTCTTTCTTTTGTATAACATATAAAGTGAATCTGTTGCAGCCAAAGCCTCTCATGTTCAGTTAGGGCTCAGACGATCAGGCTGGCAGAGGGTAAACGCAGATGAGCAATTTCTGTCTTCTTTAAATACAAATTAATCGAACTTATCATTTATTTATTGATTAATTTAAAGAAAAAAAAGCTATTGTTTAAATTGGTTGAGCAATATATTCTCTTTATAATATTTAAACAATATATATATTGGGACATCTTTTACGTTTATTCATATATCTGTGTATAGTTTAGGTTTGTTCCAAGACAAAAGGATGAAAGGCTACATTTTCCTTGTTGTGACCTTGATATTTTTATTATCATTCTCACGAAAAACGGTAAGAGTAACTTTATTGTTCTATTTTCTGTCAAATCATGATGTATTTCATACTGCAGTGTTTCATTTCGTAAAGTTTATAGCAGGAATTAATTAGGTATTGTTTTGACGAAAGTTTTAAGCGTACCTGTTTCCCAAAAAAACTATCATTAGATAGAATACAATAACGTTATTTGTGTTTCATGTTGAACATAACATATTATATTACTACATCTGTTAATATGATCAAATGTCTTTGTTCACAGGTCGGAAAAACATTGATAGTGGGTAAGTTGTAGTCGTTTATTTGATCAAATATAACTAGTATAATCATATCATTCATCAATGTTACTTTATATGGCAACCTCTCAATTTTTTTTAGACATTGGTGACGACCAGAGCATTGAAGAGGCAAACAAGGGTAAAGTCAAACATCTTCATATCATTCAATGGACCTGTGTTAATATTGCTGTTTTCACGTCCATACTTAACTGCAGCACCTTTCTTTGTTTAAAAACACAACCCTTTTGTGCTTTATCTTAGATTTATTACATGATGATATCCTGAAGGTGGGTTTTTTTTGTTGTAAATGATGTAACTGAAACTTGGTTTATATGATTATTTTCCAACACCCATTACATTTCTTATAAATCTTTTTAGGCACCACCAACAATGCAGAGGAGTGCCATTACTGATGGGGACGAACTGTGGACATCTCCAGTCCCATACGTTTTGGACAAAGACCTTGGTAAATATAATTGTTCCTGCATTAACCAAAAAATGTGTCTTTGGTGAGAACAGCTATGAGCCATGTTAGAGAGTTTGTTAAATATTTTATATCATTGACCTAACCAGTTTATTGGGGTCAGTTCCTGGGAGATAAGAACCAGATAGCAGCAGCACATTGACGTGAACAAAGCTCCTTAGGCATGATCTTAATCATTAAAGGCATCCACCAGAGCATACATATTCCAGTAATGTTCCCAGTAAAGAAAACGCCACCGAAACTATGCATTCATATTATCATTTACTTGTTCTTCTTCTATTTGAAAAATCCCCATGAACAATGGCAGAGATGAATGCTAAAGGACTCACCCTGAAAGCCTTTGACCAGTTCAGGTTGAAGTCATGTATTGACTTCAAACCAAGGGACTCTGAGGAGTATTACATCCACGTCAAGAAGTTAAATGGGTATGTTTTTTTTGTTCTGTCTTTACCATTCCTTTCTTGTTAGCTTCTTTGTCCACAAAAGGTTCCTCAACATTACATCATTTCATAAGTACGTGGTTGACCATATTTTGCTTCTGGATGTAAATGAGCTGCTGTGATTTAGGGGCATGTTTGATAAATATACGTCTTTGTTCTTTCTACTATACACATATTTTTTACTTTCACTATGAATGCTTTTGATAAACGAGGCCTGGTAAGGTCAGTCAAAATGCTGTTGCTGATGCTCTTTCTCATTTTAGATGTTATTCATATATTGGGAAAGTAATATCCAACGGACAGAACATCTCCATCGGGTCTAACTGTGATTCCATCTCAATCGTTGAACATGAGTTCCTCCATGCTTTGGGCTTCTACCATGAACAGTCCAGATATGACAGAGATGATTATGTGACCATTGTTAACGAGAACATCAGAGAAGGTTTGTTACAGATTCTTATTAAACATGCCTCTTCTTTATATTTACAGGATTATATCAAGGTATATAAAAGGACCTACAATGAGTTGGAAAGAAATAAGTTATTAGAATAATTAGTCCATAAACATATCATCAATATTTTTGTCTAAATACAGACGGTATAATCAAAAGTATTTCAAATATAAATTGGTGGCAAGATAAATGTTGCTGAAATTAAAACAATGAATACATAACATTATTCCAAACAATCTTCTTCATATCTTAATAAGTTTAAACAAATAATGGTTGGCTTTTATATGTCTTTATCTAGGCTATGAGAATAATTTTGACAAACAAAGCAATGAAACCACCACCACCCAGGGAGTCCCGTATGACTTCTGGTCAGTGATGCACTACGGCACAGGTTATTTCAGCAATGGCAACGGGTCAACTATTATAACCAAAGACCCAAAGTTCCAGGATGTGATTGGTCAAAGACTGGAAGTGAGTCCCAAAGACGCTCTGGAGCTGAACCTCCTCTACAAATGCAGTAAGTGTTTGAAAGTTGGTAGAGATATAATAATGCTATTTGCAGCCCAGCAGGTTTTCAAGAGGCATTTTAATGAACTCAATAACTTTACCTGTGCTTTTACCTGAGTAAAGAAATCATTGACTACAGCACAAGCTCGAACTAAAGCTATTCTTCATTCATTCTTATCAAAAGCCAGATAAGAGCTTACTTAAAGCTCCCATGTCATGCTTTTCCGGTTATTACCCGTCCCCTTGTGTGTTATGAAGGTTTTTATGCATGTAAACGGTGTGCAGAGTCAAAACCCTCAAAGTACACCCTGTAGCGAGTAAAACTCTAACACAGAAAATACCTCCCCAAAACGCCTCGTTGGAGATACGTCACTGCCCATTTGAGTCTTCCATTTAGTTCCGGGTACCGCCTGATGTCATGCGGTACCCGGAACGAAATGGACCAATCCCGAAGAGCTATGGCCACACCACCAGCGTCGTGTTCCTCCTCCAGAGGTTCGAAGAACCGGCATTTCACAGACGAAAGCTTCCAAAACATTGCCCAGTTTGAGGCCGGATATGCACAGCTTGTTTGGACCGTTTGGAGCAGGGGAAGATCTGGGTATACAACCTGTAAGTTTGCATTGTTATTTGTGTATTTATCAAACAAGACTGTTTAAATGTGTAAACTGTGTTGGACTGCTAAGCCATTGACACAGTGCTAACTAAGTTGCTAGAGTTTCCATATATCAACTCTAATATCAGCAGATGGCCTTGCATACATGTATCTCATAGCAGGAGAATGTCTGCATTCACACACAAAATACCTATTGACAGTATACTCCGGGTGATTTGCCGGTCAGTCGCGAAACGTAATTACATTATAGCTGGCGTAGCGATCTAACACACGGAGCTAGAGCTAGTTTCGGTCAGAAAAACATTTTTGTGATGCTACGTTGCTAGCGTTTAAATATATCAACTACAATGTCAGCAGATGGCCTTACATGTTTGTCATGGCAGGAGAATGTCTGCAGTCACACACACGGAATACTCATACAGTATACTGTACTGTGATTTACCGTACATTGTGACCGTACATATACTGCATGTAGCTAACGAGGCTAGCTGTATGCTAGCGCAAAACAATGTATTCATGCAAGTTACATTGTATGACCGAACGTAGCAGAATACCCGTATACGATTGCAATTATAAACACGTTATTGCTAGCCTAATATGAACCACTAGCTTTTGTTCATAGTAGTTTTATTACACTGCATTATAGTTGCCTTTCCTCCAAGCTAACGTTCATATCGTGTTAGCTACCAAGGTAAACAAAGCTAGGTTAGCATATTAGCAGGCAAGCTGTTCATTACACAACTACTACTAACGAATCTAAAACAACTAAGTTTCTCTAATATTTTGTGATTTGCATTTGATTTCGTCCAGCCAGATCCTGGCGGACAATCCATGACGGGGAAGGGATTCTACTACTACTGAGGGTGCTAAAAGGCACCGCACCGACTGCGCAGGCAAGATGCGAGGAGGAGGAATGGATGATATACCGTGTATATATGTATATTTATGTTCATTTTGTACATTTCTAAAAATAAAGTTTAATGGAAATACTTAGTAGGCCTATCCTTTCTTCCCTGAATTCATATATAGCAAACCATGATTTGATTTCTCATCAAACAGTAGTAGTTTATAACGGGTAAAAATAACTTACTCTTTGTTATGAGAGTAGCTCGTAGGCCACAACGGAAAGGCAAGGAGACATACACGAGTTTACAAAACCACGGCACATTTATTGTAGTAAATGCAGAGACAGGTGGTCGAGGGGAGAGGGTCGCTCAGTTCGTCCTTCTGCAGCCGCTTTGGAGAGAGACTCCGGGCCGCTGGGATTAATAGCACCGGCTACGGAGGTGTCCGTGATCGCGCTGATTACCCTCTTCAGCTCCACCCCACCGTAAGACAAAGGCCCTGAGGCCGTCACACTCTTCTATAACAACAGTTAAAAATATATATGTATATAAAATATACCGCTGTACCGACGCCATGATAAGACTGATGTTACGCTGAGAGCAGCCGGGAAAAGCACTGACATGGGCGCAGCCTCTCTGGTGGTTGACTAATCAGAACGAGTGGCCGAGCTGACCAATCGGAGCACACTAGGCTCACAGGGAGGGGGGGGCAAGAGCTCCAACGAGTCGTTTAGTGGAGAAAGTGAATACTGCTGAATACACATGCTTGACAGAGATGCTGTATGCGAAACCAATGTGAGTTTGGAAAATTGCACAGTATAAATCTATTTTAGTATACCTCAACAATGTAATTATGATCAGTGGAAATGGCCATGACATGGGCCCTTTAATGATTCCTGTGAACCTGTATAATGTCATTTGGTTGCAGTTTGTGAATCAAAACATGTATTTGAACAATGAACTTCAAACTTAAAGGTTTACTCAATATTAAATGACTACCCACACAATCCTTTAATAAATCGGAATCAGTCTTATTTTGATTTGATACCCTACATTCAACCAAGAGTCCGCAACCCAATGTTCTCTATCTTACTCTACAGAGTCAACCATTGCATTTCAGATGACATGCAGCTTCCGCGATGAGACCATGTGTCAAATGACTAGCTGTTCACAGAGTGGGCTTGGCTGGGAAATGGTAACAAATGTTACAGGGGGTCCTGTGTCTGACCACACCAATCTACCCAGTGGCAGTGGTGAACAAAGTAAGATTTTTAAATCTAACATTGCATGTGTGTACTTCAAAACTTTCCCCGACAATGAATTAAAATATGTACTATTCCTATCCAACTTTCTTATGCCACCCACCCTTATGTCATGTTATCTTTGAACTGTTGAATATATTATCAAGTATCCCCACAGAAACTGATTAAAAACACAAATATATAACTCCTTATTTTTTGGACAATACACATTCTAGGTGAAGATGTGGGTTACTTCATGCATGTTAGCACGGCATCAGGTGAGGAGGGAGACTCGGCCTGGCTGGAGACCCACAGGATGAGTCTCAATAGGGAGCATCATGTCCAGTGTCTCCAGTTCTACTATTTCCACAGTGGGAAAATGTCAGACCACCTCAACATCTGGATCAGAGAGTTTCAGAATGAATTGGACCTCAAGGGAACCCTACGCCTCATGGGGCAGATTGATGGTAATGTAGCATCTGGTATCATTCTCTATAAATAGCATTTAAGAATCTTGTGTTTGAAAGCTATATATCTCATGCGCCTTTTAATATTCAACAAATTCAATTCAGACATTACAAAATTCTTCCTCCAGGCGGGCCAACAAAACAATGGAAGCTCCATCATGTGTCCCTGAATGCCACCAAGCACTTCCAGGTGGAGTTTGAGGTTTGTAAAGGAGCAGGAAGCTCTACAGGCGGCTTCTCAATCGATGACATCAATCTGTCAGAGATCGAATGTCCACATGTAACCATGCAGCTTGATGACTTTGAGCGCAATTGGGATGCCAGTGATTATGGAGCCTCTAAATACAGCACTCGGTATTACTCCAGCGGGGGCTATGCTTACAAGCTAGCGATTGAGCTGTATAATTCATCTTTCGGATTGTTTGTGCAACTCGTGTCTGGTGAAAATGATAACTGGCTGGAGTGGCCTTGCACAGAAAGGCAGGTGACCTTCAAAATGCTGGACCAGAACGCCAACATCCAGCTGCAGATGTCCAAACAATTTAGTATCACCAGTGACCTAAGCACATCCTCTAATGGTAAGTCTAAAAGAACATAAAAGTGTTCAGTATTTATTTACATAAGAAGTTTTTGGTTTAGAACACTCTCTCGTTATTTAACTTAAATGATCTATTGCTCTCTTTAAACAGGCAGTTATGTGTGGGACAATCCTCGTCTGGTTGGATTGCCTTACGTAGATGACAATGGTGAAACCATCTTTGCCGGATCTATGTATGGCAGATCTACTTTCTCCGATAAAAATGAATCAAAAACCAGGGAGTTCCTCAAGGGGGGAAGTGTCATTTTCACCTTTAGCTTCCAAGGCAAGCTGATTATTTTTCTCTAAATGTTTAAATGTACGCTAAGTTGAAGTATGGCACATAATTACCCAAGTTTTTTTCTTTGCTAGATATCACTGCTCTCATCAATGGAAGTGCTCTGCCAATTCCTCAAGTTGGACAAGTGAATATTAAATATCCTCCTAAAGAGCTGAAAGAAGGCCCTTGTTCATCACGGTAGGACATTGTTATCATTTTTCAACACTAAAACCACTTGTTATTGTCAAAACAGAACTTTGGAGTTTCTTTGGAAAAACATAGGAGTTTAATATGTCTATCAAATGATGCCATATATATATTTCTCTTTTTTAAATGAAGCAATTCGATTTATATACACCTTTCTAATTATTATATGCATTTTACAGCTTCACAACCCGTGAGCCTCCAAGAACCACCGATGACAGGTATTTATATTGACTCACACAGTATAGATGAAAAACCTTGTAAGCCATAAAAACAGTGGACTTTGAAAGCTTAATTTCATGCTGTTGAGACTATTTCCACTTGTTACAAAATACGGTTGTGTATGTTTGTATGTGTCTAAAATCTTCATATCTTAATTAATCCATTATTTTCTTCCGGCTTCAGCATGTCTGGCTTCTCTCCTGGTTTGCTGTGTTCTCCTGTCCTCACCCTCCTGCTAGCGGCGATGCTTTTGATACCTTGAAGCACATCTCGCCTGTGAGCCTGTGACTTAAGATTGTCATCGTCATAACTACACTGTAGCTATGTACGTATGACTAATAAAAGCCTTGAACCTTGAACCTCAGCTCATGACGGAACCCGTAATGCAGAGTTATTCAGCTGTTTTACATGTATTACGTTTCTTTTGTTGTTTTCTTTCTCTCGTTTTTTTCTCTAGTTATATACACAGATCAAAAATGTAACTCAAAAGGGTAAAACAAATATTGGTTACAACTGTATCACATTGTATAACAGCTTATGTAAAAGTCAATGAAATGCCTGCATAGAGTTGATGATGTTGTTACAATATATTTGTTATTGTGATCATGTCTGTCCGGGTCAAACTGATGATTGGGAGTTGATTATTATAACCATGTTTCCTTTTCTAGGTCCTCATTCCTCATGGAAATGACCACTTACATTTACATTATTTGCACAAAAACAATATTATTTTGGCGTTATTGATTGTTTTGAAATACAGTTACAAATGATTTTCAAATGTATGTAATAATTGAATTACTGTGCTCTGCCACTAGTTTTAGTGCTTCACTCATTTTTTAACAGGCCTGAAAACAAACTGCAGGCAATCAATGCCTAATATCAAATTACAATTAAAATCCTTCTTTGTATATATGTTGTAACGTTCGAAAGACCTAGGACATTAATTAAACAAAATTGTATTGGAATTATTGTGTTTCAAGCTTTTTGATCCATGAAGGCAGTTGATCAGTGTAACCACAGTTTTGTTATTATCTTTACTTCGAATTCTTATGGAAGTGTATTCAAATAAATTAGAAATATAAGATTCACTGCTTTTATAACTGGGTAATACAAAGGAAAGTTTAAGTGTGAGCCTTTATTTGTGTGCAAAGTGGTTGTTAGTTCACAACATTAGCATTTCTGAGAATATATAAATGTGTGCAACGACATGGTTTGGGTCGCGTTAGTTACAAAATGCTTGTTAGTATGTTGGATTGTGAAAGCGTATGTAGAAAATAAAAACTCACCGAGTGGAAGGCAGTCTTCTTTCTTTATCACTTGGTCCACATATCACATTTATCAGATGCCAGTCAGAAAAGCATGAACAGATCTCTTTTGGCCACTTGTTGGCAGCAGAAATAGACAAAACAATGAATTGGACACGATCAACACTTAAGTTGATTTGGTTAACTTGCTAGGAGCACAATTTTAATACATTTTAAAGACTTCATTTTGTATGGCAATGGAGGGTTTAGTTTGAATCCTTGTTAAATTGCATTTAACATGACCTACTTTCAGGATTAGTGGGCAGCTACTATACAGAACCCAGGGAGAAGTGTGGGGATCCCATGCCTTGCTCAATGCACTGTGATCGTCTCACAAGATACCCGATACTATTCAGTGAGTTTTTTTTCACTCGGCTTACTATACATGAAATTATTTTTATGATCTGTTTTCCTGAGATGATTCAATCACTTAAGTAGTATTATACTATTGTGAAGACCTCTTTTTTAATGTTATACGGGATTTATGGCATGACATATTGAGACTTTTATAGCAAACAATTAACTTTTAACAACATACTTGACCTTTCATGTGAAACTAAGCTATAAAATACATTTTAATGACCATGCCTGTGTGAATAAAACCTTTCATGGCACACATTCTATCACGTTTTTTATGATATTTCCAATACTATATTCTATAATACTATACATTTTATTTGGTATTTTACCAAATGCTGTGCTATGAATTTTTTTATTTACTTTTTGTTGTACTATATCCTGACCTTTTTGATACATGTTGGACATTGTAGGAGTTTTGTCATGATAATTTAGACATACTATACTATGATTTCCCCCATCTATTGTATGACTTTTCCATGATATTTTCAACATATTTCTCTGATGATGCTTACATTTGATGGTGTTTTTATCCCATACTCCCCACAGTAAGAGAAACCATTTGTGAATGTTTATGCTGACACTAAAGCCTGTAAAACATTTTATAAGTGAGCCCCAAGTAGAATATGAATCTGAAAATTAGCCTCATGTCACCTTTTGCATCCAGTTCTTCTACAAGCAAACGCAACATCCACTTTTACAAAAAGTAATCACATTTATTTGAATCATCTTACATGATCACCATATATTATGTCTAACCACTTTGATTTTCACATCACATGTTCTCATGCATCACTGATGCCCTCTGTTATACATCGCTCTAGCCTCTGGGTATATGGAATACACCATAAAAGGAAAGACATTTGTGCTACACAATGTAGGCATGGCTTGGCCAGTTCTGGCTCCTTGGTAGTTATCTTTGTCTCTCTGTCTGCCCCGGGAAATCACAGTTGTGTAAGAGAGTCTCTGAATCCAATTTCTAAAACTTAGTCCAGGTTCCGGTGTGTCTCTGTGCCGGTCCAAGCTGTGGCTCCAGGCGCCGCCGCACCGCTAGCCGATGGTGACACCGAAGCCACACTGGAACTTGTTCTTGCGGTGGTTGAGGAAAGCACCGAGAGCCAGAGTGAGGGGCAGCGGCAGCAGTTTCTTTTCCAGGGTAGCCCCAACCATCCAGTTACTATCAACCGTGCCTGAGGAGAGGAAGAGCACATTTTTTTAAAGAGAAAATCTATATTTATTTTTGCCATTTTCTAAATGAATAGTCATTTAATTTGTGTGGCTATGGGTGTATTAATACTGGATTTATTTACCTTTAAAGAGCAAGTTAGCTTTGGGAACGTCCAACTGGTAACCAAAGGACGCCGTGGTTTCTTGCATCCTTGTGTTGGCTTCAAATTCAACTCCCATCTGCAACTGTATTAGAAGATAAAAGTTAGAGAATAGATTTAAATGTTTTCATGTTTGTCGTAAAACAATACACACTAAAGGGCTTTCTGAAAAACGTATGCTTTAAGTGAAAAATCGGAATGTGAAACAAAATGCTCCATTTGAGAAGTTTTGGGGGATGAACGATGATGATTGATACACAGAAACTCAGAATTATAAACACACACACACACACACTATTACTAATCTCAGGTACCTGATCATTGGCTTTGTGATAGTATGTAGCATGCGCTCCTGCTCCTCCCAAAGTCAATGTAGCTATGAAGTTGTCCCCTGGGGAGAAATAAAGGATTGAGAATCTATCACAGAGGTAACATAAGAATGCAATTAGATTTGGCACCACTTGGTCCATATCACACTACAGAAGAGTGATTAAATGAACTAACCATAATGAAGGACAATGTGCTAAATGAACAGGTAAATATAAGATTGAGAGAGTGACAGAGCAGGGATTTACCTGTGTACCTGCCCAACAGGGAGGTGACGGCCCCTTCCTCCCCCGGTCTTCTGTGGTACACCAGCTCTCCACCCATAGCCAGAGCTGGTGTGATGGACTGCAGATAGTGGCTCACCAAAATGCCTGAGGGAAAACAGGAAAAGAGATTCAAATGATGTACACAGTATGGTCTCTTATCATCTGTATTTGTAGTATGGACATCCTGAATTAAACTGTGTGGAGTTGCTGGCAGGTTATTTCAATAATCAACGAGAGAAACTTGACAACCTGCCAAAATTAAACTTAGCTGTTATCTGGTTAGTGCTCTCTGTAGCTAGTGTCTATAATCTGCCAAAGGTTGTTTTTGAGGGGAAAAGCTCGTAACACTGCGAGTTATTCTGTAGTCACAACAACTCCAACAAAGTTTGACTTCATCCCTATAACAGATCCTGTCATGCAAAATACAGGAGAGACAACTTTTCCTATCATGACTTAAAAGTGAATATTCTTGAATCAGGACCTGCAGCACTTTGATCAAGTAGTTTGTAAAAAGATTAGTATGGGCTACAACAAACCCCTCTGTGGACTTTATTATGAGGAATTAGAAAAAACGAAACCATACCAGATCCAACAAGTACATCTGGATTTCCGAGCGTCACGGCAGAGGTGAAGTTTTCCCCGCGCCACTCCATGTCACACTGCCAGTTCACAAACTTATGCTGCTGGGTCTAAAATACACAAAAAGGGGGACAGACTGAAATTACAAAGTAAGTGACGCTGAAAGCTGAAAAAAGACAAAACATCGGCAAGTCTACATACCTGGATGGCTATTTTGGAGCGTACTGCAGACGTAAGCTGGTGGATGATTTGAGCATTCACACTACCAGTGTTGTCCATATCTCCAACCATAACTGGGAATGACTGAGGGGAGTAAATACATGTATTAGTTTTAAATTCATGTGAATAACATGTGAAACCTTGTAGCCAAGCTGGGGGCTGAATATCTTCCTGACTAGGGCTGCAAGATTTTGGAAAAAACTGACAATGCTAAAAAAATATTCAGCGATATGTATGTAAAAATACTGGAAATGTTGTCTAAATAGCAACAAAATACCAGTTTTTGGTCAATATCATCCCATCTGTAGCTGAAATATTGCCATAACCCTGATATGACATGTTATTTTTGCAACCATATCTTCCTGTTTTTTTATAAATTGATTAAAATGATTGTGA